TAGCAATAGCAATAGCAATAGCAGTTAGACTTATATAACGCGAGCTGCACTGGCTCCCCATTGGTCTCTGGACGTGCTTCAAGGTGCTAGTCGTTACTTTTAAAGCCCTACATGGTTTAGGATCTGGCTACTTGAGAGACCACCTCCTGCCACTTACCTCCCAACGACCAATAAGATCACACATATTGGGCCTCCTCCGGGTACTGTCGGCCAGCTAATGTCGGTTGGCGGCTCCCCGGGGGAGGGCCTTCTCTGTAGCTGCTCCAGCTCTATGGAACGATCTTCCCGTAGCGATCCGGACCCTTACTACTCTTCCGGCCTTCCGTAAAGCTGCTAAGACCTGGCTGTTCCAGCAGGCCTGGGGCTGTTGATTAGTATCCAGCCCCACTCTAAGCAGTACGCATGGTGTGAAATTTTAACCATTGTATTCTAATGTTTAATTTTTTATATATGTTTTTGTCTTGCCTGTAAGCCGCCCAGAGTCCCAAGGGAGTGGGCGGCATACAAATGTCAATAAACTCAAATTCAAAGAGTCCCCCTCATCTTCTGTTACCTGAGTCTATGTTGAGGCGGCGTGAGGACAGGTGCAGCGCAGAATGGTAGCTGCGACGGCGAGACTTGTAGGTATTTTCGCTACTTCTTTCCATTGAGAACTCATCCAGCCAGGAGGAATTTGTCCGTTTGTCTCGGATGGTAGAAAACGAACGTCTCATGGAGCCAGGATCTGTAACTACCTAGAAATGCATCCCAGAATGGAAGAAGGATTAAAGGTTGTCAAGTGCCTACTGGTTTCGGCCGACAGATTTGCTAGTTAAGTATTCTTAATCTCAGAGAGAGCTCTCTCATTGGGCCAAGAATAAGTACATTTGTAATAACCAGAGAGGTGTGGAAGGAAATTAACTCCCCAATTTGGAGCATATAACACCTTTTGTTACTATTTGTTTTGGTTAATATAAGCTTATCTATTTTGACTTCCCCAGACTCTAAGGCACGTCCAATGTTTTGCATCTTTGTACTCATGTGAGTAACGAAATAAGAAGAAGGAGAACAAGTTCAGTTTTATAGGTAGGTAACAAGCACTTTCACATGATTAGGCTTTGCACTGCCCAAAGCTTCTGCATTGAATAGTTGAATTGAAATGAGGCATGGTTGAACATTCTGCTCTATTTTAGTGATCAGGATGATATGGGAATCGGCATACTTAGTTTTTAATCAGCCTGTAGCGTTCACAGAAGCACCAAACGTCAATCAAAACTTGTCTTCCTCAGTCAAAAGAGCTCACAAAGGTTTCAGCCTATCAGTGTTCATCTACTGGATGCATCACACTGTTTTCTGACTTTCATGCCAAGCAGCCAATCTGCTTCCTCTCATTCATTTTATAAAGAATTCAAGGTGGTGAACATACCTAACACTCATTCCTCCTCCTATTTTCTCCACAACAACAGTCTCGTGAAGTGGGCTGGGCTGCAAAGAGTGACTAACACAAAATTACCGAGCCAGCTTTCATGCCTAAAGTGGGACTAGAACGGACATTCTCCTGGTTTCTAGCTGGTACCAAAACTGGTTCTCATACAGGAAGAATTTGGCTTGCCCATCAAGGTGGTATATAGTCTTTTGTGCTGGGGTCCATTTTTTCCAAATGTGCGTAAATCCCACCAGAGACCAAGTGCTTGGACTGGGAATATCCTTTCTAATATTCAGCCAGAGTCTCCCATTCAACACAATAGAGTAAAAACACGTCTGTTTCTACAGCAACAGAAGGTTTGCACCAAACCTTGCAATTGTAACAGGTACATGAACATCACCAACTCTTTGGGGAGCTCTATTCGTGACCCGACAAATGCGCGCACGACAAAAGCGTGCCGACAAAACTGCGGTGAGAAAACCGCGCAGTCAAAATTGCGCCCACAATAGCGCGCCGACAAAACCGCGCACACAAAGGCGTGATTAGGGTTAAGGTAAAGGTTAGGGTTAGGTTCAGAGTTAGGTTTAGGGTTAGGGTTAGGTTTAGGGTTATTTCGTTATTTTTGCGTTGTTTGTTGAAGGCGCGCTTTTGTCGGCGTGCTGTTCTCGGTGCGCTGTTGTGGGTGTGATTTCGATGTCACGGTTTTCTCGCCGCGCTTTTGTCGTGCACGCATTTGTCGATGAACCGACTCTAATCACTTTTTGGGCAGTTTTCAGAACCCATGTTAGTCATGCTCTTGGCGTTACCTAATTCATTGCCTAGTTACTCAAATCTCCTCATCCCAGATCTATTGACTAAAAACAAGGACTACATAATTTTCAGTCTGCTTGAAATGAGAGAGATCGGTAGATCAGGTGTTAAATCCACACAGGCTAATGGCCTTGCGCTGAAAGAGAGAGCCATCCCTTTGAACTCAATGAATATAAGCCAAACAATTTCACATAATTATGGAAGACACTCTAGGGGAGTCTGGAAATTAATTTTAAGTATGTTCTGAAATGCACCATTCACTCTTTCCTACTGAGAGAAGGTCAGTGAAGGCAGAGAAAAGCTTAATGGTTTCTTTCAATACTAGCAGACCTTTAATACGGCCTAGCTTAATCAGTAAATCAGTATGTGGTGCCTTGCTTACTGATTCATTGATTAATGTTCAGGATTTCAAGGTATTATACATAACACTCCCCCATCCCCGCCCCCTATGTTCTTCACAACCACAACTCTTGGGATAGGTTAGACTGAGGGACAGTAATTAAGCGAAAGTCATTTCCATGAACTTCTGTGGCCGAGGGCAGACTAGAATCTGCAATACTTTGACCATTGTACCATACTGACATTCTCTCCTATTAACGTTAAAGTAAGAGATAAGAATCCTCACTTTTTAAAAAAAGTAATCAGTTTTAAAAGGGAAAATACTCCAGGGAAACAGACTGTGTTTTTTTCACTTTGCAAGGACATTTATACTCATATAGGACAACAGCTTTCTCTAGTTTACCTAGGAATAGATTTGCCAGCTAAAATTAAGTCTTGGAACAAAACCTGAACTGCAGTAAGTCTACTGAAAAGAGGGATAGTTAATATCAAATTGTTAAGTTCGAAAGAAAGGGAATAAACGCTAGAAAAGGAAGGACAAAAAGGCGTGACCCAACAAATGCGCGCACGACAAAAGCGCACCGACGTGTCGCGAAAACTGCAATGTCATCAACGCGCCCACAACAGCACGCCAACAGCACGCCGACAGAAGCATGATTTAAGTTAAGGTAAGGGTTAGGTTTAGGGTTAGGTTCAGGGTTAGTTTTAGGGTTAGGTTCAGGTTTAGGTTCAGGGTTAGGTTCAGGGTTAGGTTCAGGGTTAGGTTCAGGGTTAGGTTCAGGGTTAGGTTTAGGGTTAGGTTCAGGGTTAGGTTTAGGGTTAGGTTTAGGGTTAGGTTTAGAACGTGCTTCTGTCGGCGCGCTGTTCTCGGCACACTTCTGCGCTCATTCGTCGGTGCGATTTAGAACTCGCGGTTTTGTCGACGCGGTTTCATCAGGCGAGCTTTTGTTGAGCGCGCATTTGTCGGGGAACCACAAAAAGGTATTCTATTGCAATTTTTGCAACAGAACAGAATGCTCATTATCCAAAATTGCTATTGGGCATTATTGCATACTTAAATCCATCCAAAATTTTAATTATGATCTGAATCATACTCTGAATATTATTCGGAGTAACCCTTGTATGATCAACTTTTCCTGTGAGTTAATTACTCTATGTATTAATTCAAATTAATTCAATTTTTACCTTAGAATTCACATGTCCAATATTTTTTCCATATACAAGCTTTGCCTATACACAGAAAAATTACATATTGCCAGAAAAAGAGCTTTATTCTAGTCTTCCTTCTAACATCTGAGTTCTAGATCTTAGGTGCTTCTTTCATATGGAGAATGTTTTATTTATATGGCTTCACTCTTGCAGATTCAACTGGAACAATTCGGCCATACATTTATCACTATGATACTAAGCCTTTGTTGTACTAAATAAAAATAAAACTTTATTTAACATTATTTATTTACTCATCTAACTCATGGTATCTCATGGTATCCATTCTCTGCCTGCTTCCTTTATCTGCTCGTTCTTGTTTTTATGTTACTTGAATCTTAAAATTTCCATTCCTTTCCACCATTTCTAACTTTTTCCAAACCAATGCTTCACAGAAGCCCTATTTATATTAAAGTACTGGAATTTCAAGATAGGGAAACATTTGGTTTTTACAAAACTGGAAAGTATGATACAAGGAGTGCTAAAAGAGGGAAAAAAAACTGATCTGTTGTGTGGTGCAATATCAGAGGTGGGTTTCTACCAGTTCGCACCTATTTGGTAGAACCAGTTTGTCTAATCTACCGAACCGGTGAGAAGAGGTTCCCACAGTGGACCCGGAAAGCAGGCCACACCTACAGAAGAGGTTCCAAAAATTTTTGA